GTTATCGTGGGTTGTTGTATGTAATTATTGTAGGTTAGTATTGTATTCGGCTGAGCCCAGTGAAGCACGAAGCTAGCTAGCTAACCCACTACCTGGACTAGCTGGCGGGTAGCTACTGGCAACTATTAGCAACGGTATAGTTGTTTCACGCCTGAGAGTGCCTGTAATTACGCCAGCTGGCTGCCTACAATAATTACATACAATAATTGCCTACCATTCAGCTGTTTTCTAACCTCATTGTCTGAACCGTTAACGTTAGGTAGTAAGTGGCTACTGTGCTTGAAATTTAGCTAGCTTGTTGCTACCTGGATAGCTACTAGTAAACAATAGCTGGAACGACCTAGCGAACAGACGCGAACTGGCTGAGTCAATTCAGTGGCTAGCTTTGCACTTGGCTAGCTAACAGTAGCTGCTAGGGGTAAGTCATATTTGTTTTTACATATTGGTAGCCAGAGTCGTTCAAGGAATTCGGGACATGGGTGACTAGTTAACGTTAGCTTGGCTCTCTCTGTGTGTTCATGCCATGAAAGGAGGGGTTTCTTCTTTGTCTGAAAACAATGGCTTGCTAGTATGCTAACTATTCTAGCTAACTAACTGGCTGAATAAGTTGACGACGGACTCGCTCAAGCTGTCGGGACTAACCCACAACGTTAGACACGGACACGAACGATCTGCTTGGCGTGTTGACACACTGGTGGTTTGTTGTGGCCGAGTATTGGTGCTAAACCGTGTTGTTGGAGTCCGGCATGCTAGCTGGCTGTGGCGTCTTATGACTAGGTGCCCTGGACGATTTTCACGGATGAATACTGTACCTAGTTAGCTAGCTGAATAAACTAAGTTAGTCTATTCCTAGAAAACATTGAACCGCTATAGTTTACAACAATTATAGTTTCTGAGGTGGAAGTTCGGAGAGTTATATTTGGGTGTTGTGGTGAGGGAGGCCCCGCTCTCTCCTTTCCCAGATGTTTAGTTCATTTCATTCCGATCTCCTTTGCATTATTGTAGCCATTTTCTGCAGCCTGTCAACTATGCCTCTGTCTATCCCTGTTCTTTCCTCTCCGCACAGGCTATACAAACGCCTCACACCGCGTGGCTGCTGCCTCTCTAACCTGGTGGTCCCTGCACGCACCACCCACGTGGAGTTCCAGGTCTCAGGCAGCCTCTGGAACTGCCGTTCTGCTGCCAACAAGGCAGAGTTCATCTCAGCCTATGCTACCCTCCAGTCCCTCGACCTCTTGGCGCTGACGGAAACATGGATTACCACTGAAAACACTGCTACTCCTACTGCTCTCTCCTCGTCTGACCATGTGTTCTCGCATACCCCGAGAGCATCTGGTCAGCGTGGTGGTGGCACAGGAATCCTCATCTCTCCCAAGTGGACATTCTCTATTTTTCCCCTGACCCATCTGTCTATCTCCTCATTTGAATTCCATGCTGTCACAGTCACTAGCCCATTTAAGCTTAATATCCTTGTCATTTATCGCCCTCCAGGTTCCCTTGGAGAGTTCATCAATGAGCTTGATGCCTTGATAAGTTCCTTTCCTGAGGATGGCTCACCCCTCACAGTTCTGGGGGACTTCAACCTCCCTACGTCTACCTTTGACTCATTTATCTCTGCCTCTTTCTTTCCACTCCTCTCCTCTTTTGACCTCACCCTCTCACCGTACCCCCCTACTCACAAGGTAGGCTTTACGCTTGACCTCATCTTTACTAGATGCTGTTCTTCTACTAATCTCACTGCAACTCCCCTCCATGTCTCCGACCACTACTTTGTATCCTTTTCTCTCTCGCTCTCCTCCAACACTACTCACTCTGCCCCTACTCAGATGGTAATGCGCCATCGCAACCTTCGCTCTCTCTCTCCCGCTACTCTCTCCTCTTCCATCCTATCATCTCTTCCCTCTGCTCAATCCTTCTCCCTCCAATCTCCTGTTTCTGCCTCCTCAACCCTCCTCTCCTCCCTTTCTGCATCCTTTGACTCTCTATGTCCCCTATCCTCCCGGCCGGCTCGGTCCTCCCCTCCAGCTCCGTGGCTTGATGACTCATTGCGAGCTCACAGAACAGGGCTCCGGGCAGCCGAGCGGAAATGGAGGAAAACTAGACTCCCTGCGGACCTGGCATCTTTTCACTCCCTCCTCTCTACATTTTCTTCATCTGTTTCTGCTGCTAAGGCCACTTTCTACCACTCTAAATTCCAAGCATCTGCCTCTAACCCTAGGAAGCTCTTTGCCACCTTCTCCTCCCTGCTGAATCCTCCTCCCCCTCCCTCTCTGTGGATGACTTCGTCAACCATTTTGAAAAGAAGGTTGATGACATCCGATCCTCGTTTGTTAAGTCAAATGACACTGCTGGTCCTGCTCACACTGCCCTACCCTATGCTTTGACTTATTTCTCCCCTCTCTCTCCAGATAAAATCTTGCGACTTGTGACGGCCAGCCGCCCAACAACCTGCCCGCTTGACCCTATCCCCTCCTCTCTTCTCCAGACCATCTCCGGTGACCTTCTCCCTTACCTCACCTCGCTGATCAACTCATCCTTGACCGCTGGCTATGTCCCTTCCGTCTTCAAGAGAGCGAGAGTTGCAGCCCTTCTCAAAAAAACAACACTCGATCCCTCTGATGTCAACAACTACAGACCAGTATCCCTTCTTTCTTTTCTCTCCAAAACTATTGAGCGTGCCGTCTTTAGCCAACTCTCTTGCTATCTCTCTCAGAATTACCTTCTTGATCCAAGACTGGTCATTCAACTGAGACTGCTCTTCTCTATGTCACGGAGGCTCTCCGCACTGCTAAAGCTAACTCTCTCTCCTCTGCTCTTGTCCTTCTAGACCTGTCTGCTGTCTTTGATACTGTGAACCATCAGATCCTCCTCTCCACCCTCTCCGAGCTGGGCATCTCCGGCGCGGCTCACTCTTGGATTGCGTCCTACCTGACCGGTCGCTCCTACCAAGTGGCGTGGCGAGAAGCTGTCTCTGCACCACGTGCTCTCACCACTGGTGTCCCCCAGGGCTCAGTTCTAGGCCCTCTCCTATTCTCGCTATACACCAAGTCACTTGGCACTGTCATATCCTCACATGGCCTCTCCTATCATTGCTACGCAGACGACACACAACTAATCTTCTCCTTTCCCCCTTCTGATAACCAGGTGGCGAATCGCATCTCTGCATGTCTGGCAGACATATCAGTATGGATGACGGATCACCACCTCAAGCTGAACCTTGGCAAGACAGAGCTGCTCTTCCTCCCGGGGAAGGACTGCCCGTTCCATGATCTCGCCATCACGGTTGACAACTCCATTGTGTCCTCCTCCCAGAGTGCGAAGAGCCTTGGCATGACCCTGGACAACACCCTGTCGTTCTCCGCTAACATCAAGGCGGTGACCCGATCCTGTAGGTTCATGCTCTACAACATTCGGAGAGTATGACCCTGCCTTACACAGGAAGCGGCACAGGTCCTAATCCAGGCACTTGTCATCTCCCGTCTGGACTACTGCAACTCGCTGTTGGCTGGGCTCCCTGCCTGTGCCATTAAACCCCTACAACTCATCCAGAATGCTGCAGCCCATCTGGTGTTCAACCTTCCCAAGTTCTCTCACGTCACCCTGCTCCTCCGCACACTCCACTGGCTTCCAGTTGAAGCTCGCATCTAATACAAGACCATGGTGCTTGCCTACGGAGCTGTGAGGGGAACGGCACCTCCGTACCTTCAGGCTCTGATCAGTCCCTACACCCAAACGAGGGCATTGCGTTCATCCACCTCTGGCCTGCTGGCTCCCCTACCTCTGCGGAAGCACAGTTCCCGCTCAGCCCAGTCAAAACTGTTCGCTGCTCTGGCACCCCAATGGTGGAACAAGCTCCCTCACGACGCCAGGACAGCGGAGTCACTCACCACCTTCCGGAGACATTTGAAACCCCACCTCTTTAAGGAATACCTGGGATAGGATAAAGTAATCCTTCTTCCCCCCCCCAAAAAAAAAAAAAAACATTGTAAAGTGGTTATCCCACTGGCTATAAGGTGAATGCACCAATTTGTAAGTCGCTCTGGATAAGAGCGTCTGCTAAATGACGTAAATGTAAATGTAAATGTAGATGTAGTCTCAAGAAGGCCAGTTTTATTGCTTCTTTAATCAGCACAACAGTTTTCAGCTAAAATAATTGCAAAAGGGTTTTCTAATGATCAATTAGCCTTTTAAAATTATAAACTTGGATTAGCAAACACAACGTGCCATTGGAACACAGGACTGATGTTTGCTGATAATGAGCCTCTGTACGCCTATGTAGATATTCCATAAAAAATCTGCCGTTTCCAGCTACAATAGCCATTTACAACATTAACAATGTCTACACTGTATTTCTGATCAATTTGATGTTATTTTAATGGACAAAAAAATTGCTTTTCTTTTGAAAAACAAGGACATTTCTAAGTGACCCCAAACTTTTGAACGGTAGTGTAGCCCCTAGAATATTAAGGTAATCTATGTGGAGATACAGACCCTACAGAGCTAACTCTGTTAAAAATGGGTACTCTGTACATGCAGATAAACAGTATATTTCCCCCGTATACTGTCATAATGGCCAGTAAACTCACGTCCACAGGTAGGTACCACAGTGTATAAATTAATTACCTGCATTTAAGAGGTACCAATGTGCAGTTAATCAGTGACCACAGGTCCTACACAAGATAATATATCTGGTGGCAGCCTGCTTATAAGCGAGCCCAAACCAAGCTGGAAATAAACTGTGTTTATCTGCAAGGTCAGCAAGCCGACCTTAACGAACCATACTCACTGGAAAGCAAGCTGAAAGAGTACAACTCAGGTCGGGGCGACAGTGTGAAAAAAGGTACATCTGTACATAACATACAGTAGCTCTCACCACCAGTCTGAAAACCACCCAAACTTTTTTGTTGTATGCGTTAGCTACCTACATTTAGCTACCTGCATGTCTATTCTCACTGTGAACATAAACTGGGCACAAGCGCGTGAAGCTTAACACTTACGTCGACGATGAGGAAGTCCAGCCAGCACCAGGCGTTGGTGAAGTACTTCTTGAAACCGTAGGCAATCCATTTGAGGAACATCTCTAGGACGAAGATGTAGGAGAAGACCTTATCGGCGTATTCCAATATAACCTTCACCACTTTCCTTTTCTCTATGTAGATGTCTTCAAATGCCTAGAGCGGCAGAGGAGGGTCAAGAGAGAAACCACAGATTAGAACCTATCGGGTCTTATATAAAACCAATACATTCAACTATTGTGCTGTAAGATTAGGAATGAGCTGTTTAGTGCAATTGTAAAAAAAAAAAAATTAAATAAAGATTACATTATAGAAAGATATAGAAAGGTCAAATCTAAATAAAGACATTGCATGTTTTATGTATTTTTTTAAAATATATTTGCTTTTGAAGAAACTTGGTATCAAATTAGCACTGGTGGAGCAATAGCTTAGTAAATGTGGCCCTATGAGCTGACTCTTAAAGAGGTCAGAGGTGAAAGTTGAGAGGTCAGGTAAGACTGGGGTAAGTGGTGGTAGTCTCACCAGAGCACCGCTGCTCAGCAGGATCATGAAGATGATAAAAGTCTCGAACCAGCTGTGTTCAACAATCTGGTAACAGGTCTTCCTCAGTCTCCACCAGGCCTGACCCAGGCCCCGAGTCGTGTTGATCTCACAGCACTTACAGTGGCGAACGCAGACTGAGACAAAGAGACAAACAGAAGATGGCGCTGTAGAGATGGATAGCTGTTGTCTTACGGGCTCCGGACCAATTCTGTTATTTTGTGTGTTGTTGTTTTTTACGCTGATCTCAACTTTTTTTGTACATAGTATTTTCCTATGACCGAAAAACAGCTTCTGGACATCAGAACAGCGATCACTAACCTCGATTTTGGATGAAGATTTTTTACTTCAACGAGTCGGAAGCTGTGGATGTACTGCCCATCCCGGACCCTAATCCCGGGACTCGAGAAGAAGAGACGGAGCAACAGAGGCAAACGAGTGGGTTCCCTGACGAGACTACGTTGACGAGGGAAATAAACCGCCTCTACCTTCCTGGCAAAACGTACAATCACTGGAGAACAAACTGGACGAGCTCCGTTTGAGACTATCCTATCAACGGGACCTGAAGAACTGTAATATCCTGTGTTTCTCGGTGTTGTGTGGCTGAACAACGACATGGATAATATACATACAGATGTTTTTTACGGGGAGGCGTGCGTCGCTTTGTTAACAACAGCTGGAGCGCGCGATCTCTAATGTTAAGGTCTCAAGGTTTTGCTCGCCTGAATTAGAACACCTCATGATAAACTGCAGACCATACTATTTACCAAGAGAGTTTTCATCTACAGTTTTCGTAGCTGTCTATTTACCACAACAAACCGATGCTGGCACTCAACGTGCTGTATAGGGCCTTAAGCAAACAATAAAATACTCACCCAGAGGCTCCTCCTAGTGGCCGGTGATTTTAATGCAGGCAAACTGAAATCTGTCTTACCTCATTTTTACCAGCATGACCTTTACTCCACACACAGAAATGCATGCAAAGCTCTTCCTCGATCCTCCATTTGGCAACTCTAACCATAACTCTATCCTGCTGATTCCTGCTTACAAGCAAAAACTAAATCAGGAAGTACCAGTGATGCACTCGACACGGAAGTGGTCCGCACAGACTGGAATTTGCTCCAGCATTCATCCGATAATATTGAGGAGTTTACCACATCAGTCACCGGCTTTATTAATAAGTGCATCGACGACGTCGTCCACACAGTGAACGTACGTACAGTACATGTCCCTACCAGAAGCCATGGATAACAGGCAACATCCGCACTGAGCTAAAGGCTAGAGCTACCGCTTTCAAGGAGCGGGACACTTATCCGGAAGCTTATATGAAATCCCGCTACGACCTCCAACGAGCCATCAAACAGTCAAAACATCAATACGGGACTAAGATCAAATCCTACTCTGCCAGCTCTGACGCTCGTCGGATGTGGCAGGGCTTGCAAACTATCACGGATTACAAAGGGAAACGCAGCCACGAGCTGTCCAGTGATGATAGCCTACCAGACAAGCTACATTTCTTCTATACTCGCTTCGAGGCAAGCAACACTGAACCGTGCATGAGAGCACCAGCTATTCCGGACGACTGAGTGAACACGCTCTCCATGGCCGATGTGAGTAAGACCTTTTAAACAGGTTAACATTCAACTTCTCCCTGACCCAGTCTGTAATACCTACATGTTGGAAGCAGACCACCATAGTCCCTGCATCCAAGAACGCCAAGGTAACCTGTCTAAATGACTATCGCCCCGAAGCACTCACATCTATAGCCATGAAAAGCTTTGAAAGGCTGGTCATGGCTCACATCAACACCATCATCCAAGACACCCTGGACACACTCCAATTTACCTACCGCCCCAACAGATCCACAGATGCCGCAAACTTTATTGCACTCCACACTGCCCTCTCCCATCTGGACAAGAGGAACACCTACGTGAGAATGCTGTTCATTGACTATAGCTCAATGTTCAACATCATAGTGCCCTCCAAGCTCATCACTAAGCTCAGGACCCTGGGACTGAACACCTCCCTTCTGCAACTGGATCCTGGACTTCCTGATGAGTTGTCCTAAGCTGACCCTCAACACGGGGGACTATCAGCGATGCCTGCTTAGTCCCCTCCTGTACTCCCTGTTCACCTACGACTGCGTGGCCGCGCATGACTTAAGGCTTGCCATAACAAAGGGTTTTAATATTTATTGACTCAAGACATTTCAGCTTTTTATTTGTAATTAATTTGTACAAATTTCGAAAAAAACATAATTCCACTTTGACATTATGGGGTATTGTGTGTAGGCCAGTAACCAAAAATCTAATTTTTATCAATTTAAAATTCAGGCTGTAACACAACAAAATGTGGAAAAAATCAAGGGGTGTGAATGTTTTCTGAAGGCACTGTATGTACAATACATATCTACCTCAATTACCTTGTACATCAATTAGGTACTGGTACCCTGTGTATATAGCCAAGTTATCGCTACTCATTGTGTATTTATATTTAAATTATTTAGCAGACGCGCTTATCCAGATCGACTTACTAGAGCAATTAGGGTTAAGTGCGTTGCTTAAGGGCACATCAACAGATTTGTCACCTAGTCGCCTCAGGGATTCGAACCAACGACCTTTCGGTTACTGGCATAAAGCACTTAACCGCTAGGCTACCCTGCCACCCCTTATTTCTGGTGTTATTGTTTTTCTAATATTTCTCTTTTATTCTCTCTGCATTGTTGGGAAGGGCCGAGCTCGCCCCCCATCCAGCAAGCATTTCACTGTTAGTCTACACCTGTTGTTTACCAAGCATGTGACAAATACAATTTGATTTGACTCTTTAATAAATCACTTAAATCACACACACACAATGCTAATCATGATGATCTAGCATACGGTAGCTACGTACATTCAGGGAAGCATTCATCTGGCTCCATGACATCATCAGCCGTCTCAGAGAAGTCATCCTCTTCCTCCCCTGGCTTCCGCAAGTCCACCGTGCTGCCTTCTGATAGGCTCACTTTTTCCTGCAACACAGGAACAAGGAAGTCACACCAGGAAGTCACGTCACACCCATATTCATTCCTGTTTTTTCCATCCCCATAGAAAGTGCTTCCATATCCATCAGACCCCAGTTACTTCTCTGCACACTAAGAAACCTAAACCCACCCAGTCTCTCAACTGCATTAGTTGACTGTTTATAAATCAGTACTCACTAAACGTATACCAGCCCCCTTTCACACTATTTGAATGAGGTATTAATAACATCAATCAAATCAAATCAAATGTTATTTGTCACATACACGTGTTTAGCAGACGTTATAGCGGGTGTAGCGAAATGCGTGTGCTTCTAGCTCCGACAGTGCAGTAATATCTAACAAGTAATATCTAACAATTTCACAACATATACCCAATACACACAAAACTAGTAAGGAATGGGATTTAAGAATATATACATATGGACAAGCAATGACAGCAATGACAGAGCGGCATTGACTAAGATACAGTAGAATATTATAGAATAGAATGCAGTATATACATATGAGATGAGTAGTGCAAGATATGTAAACATTATTAAAGTGACTAGTGTTCCATTTCTTAAAGTGGCCAGTGATTTCAATAGGCAGCAGCAGCCTCTAATGTGCTAGTGATGGCTATTTAACAGTCTGATGGCCTTGAGATAGAAGCTGTTTTTCATTCTCTCGGTCCCAGCTTTGATGCACCTGTACTGACCTCGCCTTCTGGATGATAGCGGGGTGAACAGGCAGTGGCTCGGGTGGTTGATGTCCTTGATGATCTTTTTGGCCTTCCTGTGACATCGGGTACTGTATGTGTCTTGGAGGGCGGGTAGTTTGCCCCCGGTAATGCGTTCGGCAGACCGCACCACCCTCTGGAGAGCCCTGCGGTTGTGGGCGGTGCAGTTGCCGTACCAGGCGGTGATACAGCCCGACAGGATGCTCTCAATTGTGCATCTGTAAAAGTTTGTGAGGGTTTTAGGTGATAAGCCGAATTACTTCAGCCTCCTGAGGTTGAAGAGGCTCTGTTGCGCCTTCTTCACCACACTGTCTGCGTGGGTGGACCATTTCAGTTTGTCGGTGCTGTGTACGCCAAGGAACTTAAAGCTTTCCACCTTCTCCACTGTTGTTCCGCCGATGTGGATAGGGGGGTGCACCCTCTGCTGTTTCCTGAAGTCCACGATCATCTCCTTTGTTTTGTTGATGTTGAGTGAGAGGTTATTTTCCTGATACCACACTCCACACTCCCAGAGCCCAATCTGTGACATATCTGTGACATAAGTGCACACGTCAAGCATTGAGTCGACGCATAAGTTTCAACCATTAAATGGTCAGAGTTTACTTCCTGAACCGCGTACTTTCTGTGTCTTCGATCTGTCATCCAGACCTGGGTTCAAGTACTATTCAAAATAATTTCAAATACTTTATCTGGGCTTGATTGAGTTTGCTTGGCTTAATAGACAAATATAATAGTCCCAAAATGTCAACCCCGCCCACCTGGCATGCCAAGCAGGCTAAAACAAACGCTGAATGTATTTGAAAGTAAGGGTTCAGGGTTCAGGCTGTGCTGTAATCTCATGCTACAGTAAGGGATCTGAGTTCAGATTTCAGGTTGTGCTGTGACCTCTGCCTTCTATCTCCAGGAAGTCTTAGTCCAGGTCTGATGAGATTTCACTGTGTAGTAATGGAAACATATTTCACACGCTTTACTGGGATTATTGGGACTGAGGTGCTGCTGCAATCCAATAAAACGAAAGCGTAATCCAGCATTAAAGAATGTGTGTGTGTGTGTGTGTGTACGCATGTGTGTGTGTGTGTGGAACCTGGAGACAGGATTACTGTCGGTATCATTCTTAGGGCTGAAAGATGAACAGAGGGAATCTGCTCTGGCAGCATTTAGATAGAATCAGTGTTACACTATGGTCAACAGTAAAGGATCAGAGATGATCATTTCACTAACATCAGTGTGCACGTACACACACACACACACACACACACGCACACACACACACACACACACACACACACACACACACACACACACACACACACACACACACACACACACACACACACACACACACACACCACATAAAGTGTGAGCAAATCCATAATATGTCATTGCCTTTCAGAGATAAGACTTGCTGATTTTCAATCACTGAAGAAAATTATCACATCAAATAAGTAAGTAAACCACAAATCATCTTCATTAATTATTTTTAAATAAATAATCAAACAATTTGTTGCTAACTACAGGCTTGCTGCTTAAATCCAAACGGCAGGTTATTTTTTGGTGTGTTTTAAAGTCCTTCACGTGTGAAGCACATCCTTTTTTTACTGCAGAGTGCACTGCTGATGCCAGCTAAGCTGCTAGATGGCTGTAGAATGCTTTTTTTCCCTAATATCCATTTTGCACAGAGCCTAATTCTGGAGTGGAGCGGGCAGGGAGCAGGGCACACCAGGGAAAGACGGCACGAGGAGGAGGCCAGACTGCTGCCCGGTAGCCCGGCACCACCCCTGCCCACCCCGCACTGGCGGCCACCCTACCCCACCGCACCATGCCCAGCTCCCCCGCCCCACCCTGCCCCGCCCCACCCCGCTCTGGCGTCAACCCTACCCCACCGCACCATGCCCAGCTCCCCCGCCCCACCATGCCCAGCTCCCCCGCCCCACCCTCCCCCGCCCCACCCTGCCCCACCCCGCTCTGCTATGTCCACTCTGCCTATTTAATCTGCAGGGCCTGGGCAGCTCTATCACTACAGTTCTATAGCTCTACAACTTAGCATCTGCCCACTGCAGACTGATGCTGCCTGCCAACCCTGCAAAGGATTTAACGGGGGAAAAGGGGGGAAGGGGGGGGGAAAAAAAAAATTGGAAAAATAAGAAAAACGGGGGGCCGAAAAAAGAAAAATATAAAAAGAAAAGAGGGGGGCGAGAGGGGAAAAGAAACGAAGAGGGGAGAGAAGAGGGAGAAGAGAGGAAAAAAAGAGACGATCTTTCCCTGGGGGGTGGGTCCCCGGGTAAAACTAAGTAAAAAACCGAAAAAAGGGGGCCCCTTCCATTTTTCTCCCCCTTACCCCCGGGGGGGGGGCGAGCCAACTTAAAAACCTCGTTCTTTCCAAAATCAACTTATCCTCACTCTCTTTCCTCATCTCTTAATTGGGAGGGGCCCTTACTTCAAAATCTCCCCCTTCCGGTCACCTCCCCTTCCCTTTCCGCCGGTTTCTCCGGGGGGCCCTCTTCCTTGGGGGGCCCTTTCTCCTTCTTGGGTTTCCCTCTTCTTTCTCTCTTTTTTCCAAAGGGGGAAAGAAAAATTTTTTACCCTTTTTAGGTTTTCCCTTATCAGAGTTTCCTTTCCCCCCCAAAAAGCTTTTTTTTACAAAAACCAAGGTGGGAAACGATTTTAAAAGGGGTTCCCCCCTTTGGGGGGCGGGGGCACCTGGGGGTTTTCTCCCCCCTTTTAGATATAAACAAAAATCACTTAAATTAGGGCCTGGGCACCTTTCAAAAGATGCCCTCTTTTTTCGCTCTCTCTTCCTCCTTTCCCGGCCCCTTCCCCCTTTTTTCCCGAGCTCGGCGCGCCTTTCCCCTCGGGGGGGGTTAAAAAAATCTCCCAAATCTTTCTGGGAAATTGGCCTCCCTCGCTCGGGGGCCCCCCTTCGCCAAGGGGGTTTGGGCCCTTCTCTCCTTTCTTTTCCCCGTTCCCCCCTCTTCCTCTCGTGCCCGTCCCCGGCGGCGCCCTTTTTCTTTTTCTCTTTTCTCCCCCCCTTCTCCTACCTCCCCTTCTCTTTTCCCTTTCCGTTTTCCTCCTTTCCCCCGGGCCCTTCCTTTTCCCCTCCCTTTTCCAAAACCCCCCTTGCCCCCTTCCCTTCGCTTCCCCCCCCTTTCTCTCTTCCCCTCCCTCGGCCCCTCTTCTTCCTTTTTCCCTTCCCCTCTTTTCCCCCTCTTTCCCCCTTCTCCCCCTTTTCTCCTCCTCTTTTGTTTTGTTTTTCCCCCCCTTTTCCCCGGCCCCCTGCTTTTTTCTCCGTTTGGGGCCTTTCCTCTTTCCCTCCCCCCCTCCCCCTACCTTGGCCGGCCCCCCTTTTCTTTGGGGTTTTTTTTTTCCCCCTTCCTACCTCCCTCTTTCCTCCCCCCGCCCTTTTCCGCGCGTTTTTTCCCCTTTTGTTTTGGGGGGGGGCCTCCGGGAGCTTCTTTCAACTCGCCTCTTTTCGGGGGGTTGGGTTTTTTTTTCCTTTTTTTTCCCCCCTCCCTTATTTTTCGGCCCTTTCCCCCCTTTTTTTCGCGGTGGGGAGAGAGAGAGAGACACGATTGACTCAATGAGGGGTGAGAGGCAAGGCTTAAGGCTGAGGGTAATACATGATGCATTAGGTGACATTGTGTTAATTACCTAAGAGGTGAATATGACTCAATCTATGAGCAGCAAAAACCCACTTCCAGTAATTTAATGTGAACCAGTTTTCTTTGTAACCAAGCGCTGTGCTTTCTGAGAAGACTAGCAGATGTTTTCAGGCTGAATCACATCTGAAGGCCCTGGCAGACAGTCTGTGTGTGTGTGTGTGTGTGTGTGTGTGTGTGTGTGTGTGTGTGTGTGTGTGTGTGTGTGTGTGTGTGTGTGTAAATGCCAATTAGTATCAACACACAACACAACCCACAGAGACCAGATACAGACAGGCTTTTCAAAGCAGCATTCCTCTAGTTTATACATTATTCACCTGGCGATAACGTCTATCACCATGATGGAGAGTGAAATAGTACTGTAGTTACATCCGATGTATCACCATTCAGTTGTGTCTCATCATTCAGCTACAGTCCATTTTCTAACACACGCAAGCTTTTTGTCTTCTTTCTCACGGTTCAAACTCTGGTGTTTGGACCACAAGAGGATGTGAAAAAAAAAAACACACCTAAAAATAAAAGATTTCCTACAGTCCTTGAGATGGTGAGTTGGTGTGTAGGCTTGGGCGATTTACCCTTCATACCGTATACCGGGGTATTTCGAAATACCAATGGTATGATTTTCAATACCGTTTTTAAAAAAAACACGAGGGTGCATTATAAGTTAAGTAAAGCTATAAGAAATGTAAGATGTGTTAAATAAATTATATCCAGCTCAGGGCTCCAGCTTTGCAGGTGCTTTGTTAACTTGCTCGCTAAGTGGCTAGATGTCAAGACCCAGCTTGTTGGTGACAGCGGAGACATTCTAGCCTGAGTAACAGTCTCTTCAGCTAACATTCCACTCCCTGTACTCCATATCATGTTGCCATAGAGACTGGGCTTTCTGCCATCTTCAAATATGAACGTTCTATCGTTAACGAGCTCAAAAAGAACAGAGGAGTTGATCCTGATTGGATAACCCTCACAGCTATCCTCCAACGATTATCCAAATATTGGAACTCTATCACTTTAGCTGGTAGAGCACGGCGCTTGTAACGCTCAGCTGGTAGAGCACGGTGCTTGTAACGCCAAGGTAGTGGGTTCGATCCCCGGGACCACCCATACACAAAAAAAAAAAAAAATTATGCACGCACGACTGTAAGTCGCTTTGGATAAAAGCGTCTGCTAAATGGCATATTATTATTATTATTATTTTCTCCACAGAACACGTTGGTATCCGGTTGCTTAGCAACCTTTTTTTGTTTGTTTGTCCAGATGAAACCAGTCTGTCAAAAGTTGCTAGCTTGTTTTTGATTTTATAATTTTTAATTCTATTTTCGAGGCTCCACATGTTGTCATGGAAAATATTAATGTTATTTCCAACAACCAATGAGCAACTCCACCGTAAATCCAGCTGCATATTGAACGTTGAGATTGCCGAAAGGCCAGTCTCTTTGGCAATGACATGGAGTGCCAAGGAGTGGAATGTTAGCTAAACAGAACTGGAACCCAGACTAGAGACAGTCAATCCCCTCCTGGATCAAGATCCTTATTGCCTAAATGTTTTTGTTTTTTTAATAGCGGCCCTTGTGTGCACTTCCAGTAATACCGTATACCCCAGTATGGTACAGAAACGGTATGACGGTATGAAAATCTGGATACCGCCTAACCCTATTGGTGTGTAGCGTTGCGTAGCGATTATGAAACTAAATCTGTGTCCTGTCACCAGGGATCACCTTGTCTGTCTGCCTGGCTCACAGATTTACCAGATTATATATCCGGAAAGCCTCCATTCTGCCCCTATCTATTCTACAGTACTACCCACTTCCTGTAATCTACCATATGGCCCGCCCCCTGCAGCTCATTGATCCTTGACCTCACTCTAACTTTTGAGTGACATGAGCAGGTGGCAATCTGGTACAGTACACCATGGCACTGATGTTTAAGTGTATCTGAGGTTACTAGGGAGACTCAGGACTGGGGAGACTCGGGACTGGGGAGACTCGGGACTGGGGAGGCTCGGGACTGGGGAGGCTCGGGACTGGGGAGACTCGGGACTGGGGAGACTCAGGACTGGGGAGACTCGGGACTGGGGAGGCTCGGGACTGGGGAGACTCGGGACTGGGGAGACTCGGGACTGGGGAGACTCGGGACTGGGGAGGCTCGGGACTGGGGAGGCTCGGGACTGGGGAGGCTCGGGACTGGGGAGGCTCGGGACTGGGGAGGCTCGGGACTGGGGACGCTCGGAACTGGGGAGGCTCGGGACTGGGGACTCTCAGGACTGGGGGACACTCAGGACTGGGGACACTCAGGACTGGGGACACTCAGGACTGGGGACACTCAGGATTGTGTCTTTTACCATAAAAGTCCTATGACCAAGTTCAAGTTAGTGTAGTTATACACACAGTGGGGTCAGAAATGACTAACACCCTTGATGAAGATGAGCAATAATGCAATTGCTCAGAGAAAGAGATTTTGTTTAACAAGTAAAGGTAGGGGTCAAAATGATTGACACCCCTAAAGAAGTAGTAGAAATGTTGTATTTGGTCCCATATTCCTAGCATGGAATGACTACATCAAGCTTGTGACTGGATACATTTGCAGTTTGTTTTGGTGGTGTTTCAGATTATTTTGACATGCTAACCTCCCCTGTTATTGGTAATGGTGAGAGGTTAGCATGTCTTGGGGGTATGATCTTTGATCCTCTGTAACTTTCTCACTCATCATTATTTACAATTCATTCAGGATTATCCGTAATCATGGTAGCATCCACATTAATGTAGAAGTGTTTAGAAACATATTATATTCTTATGTACAATAGAAGTGACTCCAAAATGACAATACATTATTTATCATTCACTTCTATTGGGGACAAAATAATCTGAAACACAACCAAAATGAACGGCAAATGCATCCAACAAGTTTGTAGAGTCACAAGCTAGATGTAGTCATTGCATGCTTGGAATATGGGACCAAATACTAAACGTTTGACTAATTTATTTATAAGTATCTTTAAGACATGTCAATTAATTTTGATACCTACATAAAAAATTTCAAGAATGTAAATATCTTTCTCTAAGCAATTGTATTAGTATAAAATAACATAATTTCCCCATAGCTCAGTATTTTAATTATTTATTTTACACTGTCATTATTGCTCATCTTTATCAAAGGTGTCAATCATTTTGGACCCCACTGTATATTTAATAAGAAAAAATGTCAAACAAAATGTACACTTTTTTGTGCTTTTGGATGCACAAAAAACACCCCTTTAGCAGACTACAAAGCTAGTTACTTTAGAATAAAACATATCCTCCTTTTTTCAGTGTGATTAATAATTTGTGCGATAAGCCTTACCGCTTTGTTCTCCTCGTCGTCTGACGACTCCGTCTCCTCTTCCACCTCTCCTTCCTCAGGGAACTCCACGTCCGACTCCCCGGGAGCGATGGGCACGCTGATGGTCAGGTTGGGGTTGGTCATGTAGCTGTCGTCGTCCGGGACCTTCTCCCCGTAGCGTCCGATCACCCCCACCACCACGGCCCCCACCCCACCGTTACTCTCCACGTGATTGGCTACGGGCGTCAGCTTCACAGAAATCTGAACGTCTTTGGTCACGAGACGTCTCTTCTTCAGGTTTCCGTTGAACAGGTCGGAGACGTTCCTCCTCAGCCAGGCGAACCCTGTGTGGATGCGGGCGACGGCGATCTGGATGTTGTTCATCTCTCCGTCCTCGTCGGGAGCGGACAGGTTGTCTGAGCTGAACGAGCTGAGCAGCAGGGCCAAGAACAGGTTCAGCACCTGGGATGGAAGAGGAGAGGGAGACGGGTATAATGGAAATACACTATCGGAGATGAGGCACCAGACAGGGTTGCTCTTTGTCTCCCGTCCTATTCAATATTGCTATTGAGCCACTTGCATATCCTGCAATATACTACGAATACTAGGACAATTTCGTACGCTCTGCAAATGTGTACTTTGATACATTGGTTGCCATATATAGGTTGTCAAAAGCCACACAAAAAGGGGACAAATTGGTGTATTTTGATCATGTTCAAATTATATGTAAGCAGATCAGAGGTAGGGAACTCAAGACAGACAAGATATAATCTATTCTTTAAGACCCTTGACAAGACCCCAGACAATGGTTTTGTCAACAGAATCAAATCCTATAGGCACCCTACAGAGGAGTAACCCTGCCCCGGTTCAAACACATCAATGTTGTTGCCACGTTGCTATGGATCCAAGCAGCATCCCATGTGATCTCCAGTAATCTATCTGCCTGCTCAGAGAGCACTACAGCTGTTTGTCATCTAGGCTCCAGATACCTCTGCTTTGTGTGTGGGACATAACTAGTTGGTGTGGGATGATCTGCTATGAGGGAGTCTACTGCTCATTGAGATGGGGATGGAGGGAGCATGCACATGATCTGAGCAGATTGTTGTTGATGGGTGCTCTTTGACCTCGCATCTAAGCAATCTGTTGCTCGCGAACCCTAGAGATCTGCCGAGATCCACAGCTTTCAAATGATTCATGTGTTTAGAGAGAGGGAGGGTTTCTGTCAGTCTGACCATGTAATGCCCAGAGGAGAGCTGGAGGAATCTGGTGGTCATATATAGCGGCCATTATAACTAGCTTCATAACATCGTATGCCGTTGTCCATAATCAGATTTTTAAAAACCCAATGCAGCCGTTTTTATATTAATATCCTTAATCATTTCTGGGTAAAAATTAAGTACCTTACTGTAATAATTTTCCATTAAAGTTGACAAAAAGAAAAAATACATATTTTTAGCAAAAATAAACAATTTCTCAAGCAAGAATTTTGCTAGGACTGTCTTCGAGTGGTCTGATTTGGGAAGGGAAGGGCAGCCGAAAACAATCTGTTATTGGCAGAGAGCTTTAGAACTCTCTTTGTTATTGGCAGAGAGCTTTAGAACTTTCTTTGTTATTGGCAGAGAGCTTTAGAACTCTCTTTGTTATTGGCAGAGAGCTTTAGAACTCTCTTTGTTTTTGGTCTATTAACTTATTCACCACCTGGTGATGTCACCAGGCATTCCGAAACTCCACTCATGCAAAAACCTGCTAATCAGAAGGTCATGTGTAGATTGTGTGTTTAACCAGCAACTATTTGGAAATTTGGAAATAACACTAATCAAATTGTTTTCAAATTGTTGAAAAATCACAGATTTGTTTCTGAGCATGAGGATAAGATCCATTACGAAGTAGCCTTTAATGACGACAGGGAAGTAAAGGCCAACGGAACAGTTGTTTGACTAGTGTCCAACAGGATTTTACCTTCTTAAAGCTATGCTCTCTTAAAGCCTGACATGGTTGTCAAACAGTTAACTGATTTGATCACAGGCAGGTAAATCCTGTATATGGGGGCAATACACTGTTTGAATATAAAACAGAGCTCTTTGGCCAAGCACACCTGTGGTGTGTTTGGCGTCTAAATGAAAATCCATTATGCAGAAAATAACCCATACCTACTGTAAAATATGGTGGTGGATCTTTGATGCTATCAGGCTATTTTGCTTCCACTGGTCCTGGGGTCCTTGTTAAGGTCAACGGCATCATGAACTTTACCCAGTACCAGGACATTTTAGCTAAAAACCTGGTTGCCTCTGCCAGCAGACTGAAACTTGACCGCAAGTGAATCTTCCAGCAAGACAATAACCCCAAGCACACATCAAAATCCACAAAAAAATGGTTAATTGACCACAAAATCCATCTCTGTTCTTGAAACCCATTGAAAACCTGTGGTTTGAATTGAAGAGGGCAGTCCATAAGCACAGACAAAGGATAGCAAGGACCTAGAAAGATTCTGTATGGATGAATGAGCTGAGATCTCTCCCAATGTGTTCTCCAATCTCAGAAAACATTTTAGAAAAGGAGAGGTATTGAATGGTAATGAAGACAGGGGTGTCAATAAGTTTGACCCTTATATTTTTGAGGGGAAAAAAGTATTACTTATTAAACTAAATCTCTTTCTCTGAGCAATTGTATTAGTATAAAATAATATAATTTCCCTTTTTTTTGTTGTTGCATACAATAGCTCAGTATTTAAATTATTTATTTTATACAGTTGTTTTTGCTCATCTTTATCAAGTGTCAATAACTTTGGACACTGTATGTGGTTTGGAAATGACATGCAAAAGCCAGAGCCCGGTAATACTGTTCCGGTCACGCTCTCTCGTTTGGATTTAGCCTGCCTGTGTCCTGGATTACACAAAATGGTTACCTCCGACTCTACTGCAGTCCATTAATGGCAGAAAATGGTACTCAACTTTATTGTACTTGTTCGTAACATTTAAAATGTGAAGGTTTTATTTTTCATCTGAATTTAATTAAAGAATGAAATGAAAGAAATAACTAACAATATCTCAGAGAAAGAAAAAAAAACATGAGAAAATGTTGAATTAAAAAATAGTATCTTTCAAAAATGGTAAAATAGTTGAGGTATGGGACTGGAGAAATGTAACCACTCTTCATAGACAGAGCTATGGCTGTAAAGACCGACCATCATGATGGGACTGGAGAAATGTAACCACTCTTCATAGACAGAGCTACGGCTGTAGAGACCGACCATCATGATGATGATGATGATGTCAAAATTATAGTTTTAACCATGTTTTGCGACTATACAGTGTTTGTTTACAAACATTGGAGTAAAACAAGTTTATATTTTGGGTTCTGATGGGGTTCAACAGTTGAACTAAAGCTCATGAGGCATTTTTCAAGTTATATTCTTCAAGAGTCAATGGGTAAATATCCTTCATTATAAATCCAAAAATGAATGTAGCAACTGCAGATTGGCCCTTTTGAAAGACTTAATTTAGCTCTGTAATGTTCTCCATCCAGCAGCACACGAAGCTAAAGCTATGCTACATGAACATGAATGGATGAATGAGAGAAATATTATTTGCTGTCCGGCCGGCCGAACGACCAACTACTAGTTGTCTGGAGTTCTGGGAAAAAAAGTTTTGATCCCTTCTCATTAAATGGTAGTTTCCAGGACACAGATGGATAACAAAGCAACATCTGGGTGGCTCAACCAATACTGCATTGCTGTGGTGCCAAGTGACAGCAGTTGTGTATAAACAGAGCCGTTACTTGGATTAAATGCTTTTTTATATAAAACAGTTCGATTTCTGTGCCCTCTCATCAAGAAGGCTTTGTTTCATAACTATAAAACTAAACTGTCGATACCTGCTGAGTCCGGATATTACACAGTGCTGCAGCTAGCTACCGTACCCTGCTGTAACGTTCCAATGTTACCTCATCAGATCTTAAGTACTGAACAACTTGGATCACATGTTCAACCCATTAAGACCTTATTTATTATTGCTGGATAAAACATTTAAGCCTTTAGCGGACGTTCGGCAGTATGAATGCTGCAAACACCACTCCACTCCAGTGTGGATATACTTGTTGGGACTGGACAGTAGGATAATGCCATACATGTTGTATGTACTTTGTAGAGGATAACAGATGGTTAGTATGTTGTCCAGACTGAATCTGTTTTGAAGTCTGCTTATACAGTGGCTTGCGAAAGTATTCACCCCACTTGGCATTTTTCCTATTTTGTTGCCTTACAACCTGGAATTAAAATGGATTTTTTCGGGGATTTGTATCATTTGTTGTCCCGTGTAGCTCAGTTGGTAGAGCATGGCGGTTGCAACGCCAGGGTTGTGGGTTCGATTCCCACGGGGGACTAGTATGAAAATGTATGCACTCACTACTGTAAGTCGTTCTGGATAAGAGCGTCTGCTAAATGACGTAAATGTAAAATGTAAATTTGATTTACACAACATGCCTACCACTTTGAAGATGCAAAGTATTTTTTATTGTGAAACAAACAAGAAATAAGACAGAAAAACTTAAAACTTGAGAAGGCAAAACTGCTCCAGCTCCTTCAAGTTGGATGGGTTCTGCTGGTGTACAGCAATCTTTAAGTCATAGCACAGATTCTCAATTGGATTGAGGTCTGGGCTTTGACTAGGCCATTCCAAGACATTTCAATGTTTCCCCTTAAACCACTCATGTGTTGCTTTAGCAGTATGCTGAGGGTCATTGTCCTGCTGGAAGGTGAAACTCCGTCCCAGTCTCAAATCTCTGGAAGACTGAAACAGGTTTCCCTCAAGAATTTCCCTGTATTTAGCGACATCCATCATTCCTTAAATTCTGACCAGTTTCCCAGTCCCTGCCGATGAAAGACATCCCCACAGCATGATGCTGCCACCACCATGCTTCACTGTGGAGATGGTGTTCTCTGGGTGATGAGAGGTGTTGGGTTTGCGCCAGACATAGCGTTTTCCTTGATGGCCAAAAAGCTAAATGTTAGTCTCATCTGACCAGAGTACCTTCTTCCATATGTTTGGGGAGTCTCCGACATGCCTTTTGGCGAACACCAAACGTGATTGCTTATTTTTTGTCTTTAAGCAATGGCTTTTTCCTGGCCACTCTTCTGTAAAGCCCAGCTCTGTAGAGTGGTCCTATGGACAGTTACTCCAATCTCCGCTGTGGAGCTTTGCAGCTCCTTCAGGGTTATCTTTGGTCTCTTTGTTGCCTCTCTGATTAATGCCCTCCTTGCCTGGTCCGTGTGTTTTGGTGGGCGGCCCTCTCTTGGCAGGTTTGTTGTGGTGCCATATAATTTTTTTAAATAATGGATTTAATGGTGCTCTGTGGGATGTTCAAAGTTTCTGATATTTTTTTATAACCCAACCCTGATCTGTACTTCTCCACAACTTTGTCCCTGACCTGTTTGGAGAGCTCCTTGGTCTTCATGGTGCCGCTTGCTTGGTGGTGCCCCTTGCTTAGTGGTGTTGCAGACTCTGGGGCCTTTCAGAACAGGTGTTTATATACTGAGATCATGTGACAGATCATGTGACACTTACAGTTGAAGTTGGAAGTTTACATACACCTTAGCCAAATACATTTAAACTCAGTTTTTCACAATTCCTGACATTTAATCCTAGTAAAAATTCCCTTTCTTAGGTCAGTTAGGATCACCACTTTATTTTAAGAATGTGAAATGTCAGAATAATAGTAGAGAGAATTATTTATTTCAGCTTTTATTTATTTCAACACATTCCCAGTGGGTCAGAAGTTTACATACACTCAATTAGTATTTGCCAGCATTGCCTTTAAATTGTTTAACTTGGGTCAAACGTTTCGGGTAGCCTTCCACAAGCTTCCCACATTAAGTTGGGTGAATTTTGGCCCATTTCTCCTGACATAGCTGGTGTAACTGAGTCAGGTTTATAGGCCTCCTTGCTTGCACACACTTTTTCAGTTCTGCCCACAAATGTTCTATAGGATTGAGGTCAGGGCTTTGTGATGGCCACTCCATTACCTTGACTTTGTTGTCCTTAAGCCATTTTGCCACAACTTTGGAAGTATGCTTGGGGTCATTGTCCATTTGGAAGACCCATTTGCGACCAAGCTTTAACTTCCTGACTGATGTCTTGAGATGTGGCTTCAATATATCCACATCATTTTCCTTCCTCATGATGCCATCTATTTTGTGAAGTGCACCTGTCCCTCCTGCAGCAAAGTACCCCCACAGCATGATGCTGCCACCCCCGTGCTTCACGGTTGGGATGGTGTTCTTCGGCTTGCATGCTACCCCCTTTTTCTTACAAACATAACAATGGTCATTATGGCCAAACAGTTTTATTTTTATTTCATCAGACCAGAGGACATTTCTCCAAAAAGTACAATCTTTGTCCCCATGTGCAGTTGCAAACGATAGTCTGGCTTTTTTATGGCGGTTTTGGAGCAGTGGCTTCTTCCTTGCTGAGAGGCCTTTCAGGTTATGTCGATATTGGACTCGTTTTACTGTGGATGTAGATACTTTTGTACCTGTTTCCTTCAGCATCTTCACAAGGTCCTTTGCTGTTGTTCTGGGATTGATTTCCACTTTTCGCACCAAAGTACATTCATCTCTAGGAGACAGAACGCGTCTCCTTCCTGAGTTGTATGATGGCTGCGTGGTCCCATGGTGTTTATGCTTGCGTACTATTGTTTGTACAGATGAACGTGGTACCTTCAGGCGTTTGAAAATTGCTCCCAAGGATGAACCAGACTTGTGGAGGTCTACAATTATTTCTCTGAGGTCTTGGCTGATTTCTTTTGATTTTCCCATGATGTCAAGCAAAGAGGCACTGAGTTTGAAGGTAGGCCTTGAAATACATCCACAGGTACACCTCCAATTGACTCAAATGATGTCAATTAGCCTATCAGAAGCTTCTAAAGTCATGACATCATTTTCTGGAATTTTCCAAGCTGTTTAAAGGCACAGTCAACTTAGTGTATGTAAACTTCTGACCCACTGGAATTGTGATACAGTGAATTATATGTGAAAAAATCTGTCTGTAAACAATTGTTGGAAAAAGTACTTGTGTCATGCACAAAGTAGATGTCCTAACCAACTTGCCAAAACTATAGTTTGTTAACAAGAAATTTGTGGAGTGGTTGAAAAACGAGTTTTAATGACTCCAACCTAAGTGTATGTAAACTTCCAACTTCAACTGTAGGTGGACTTTATTTAACTAATTATGTGACTTCTGAAGGTAATTGGTTGCATCAGATCTTATTTAGGGGCTTCATAGCAAAGGGGGTGAATACATATGCACTCACCACTTTTCCGTTATTAATTTTTCTTCACCAATTTGTCCTATTTTGTGTATGTCCATTACATGAAATCCAAATAAAAATCCATTTAAAAATTACAGATTGTAACGCAACAAAATAGGAAAAATGCCAAGGGGGACTGTAGTAATCTGCACGTCAAGCCAGTTAATATGACAATGCGGCCACCATTTTCTGAGATGTCATTGGGTCTTGGATGGCCCACACGGATACTGTACATAGAGTCATTGTAGTAACATGGTGACCATAACAGACAATGCAAACCCTATAGTTACTCTGTCATTTCCTAGATCAATCCTCTCACACTGTCTGAAAGCATTCTCAGAGTATGCCTATATTGTAGACACTGATTACCTTGAATGCATTGGTCCTTTATCTGCCTCCTCCCCAATAGCAACAGATATATTTTTTTAAAAGATAAAAATATACCTTTATGGAACAGCTGGGACTGTGAAGAGACACACACACACACACACACACAGGCACAGACACACGCTTACACATCCACATGATACAGTGAATGAAAAAAATATTTGATCCCCTGCTGATTGTGTGCGTTTGCCCACTGACAAAGAAATGATCAGTCTAGAATTTAATGGTAGGTTTATTTGAACAGTGAGAGACAGAATAACAACAACAAAATCCAGAAAAATGCATGTCAAAAATGTTATAAATTGATTTGCATTTTAATGAGGGAAATAAGTATTTGACCCCCTGTCAATCAGAAAGATTTCTGGCTCCCAGGTGTCTTTTATACAGGTAACGAGCTGAGATTAGGAGCGCACTCTTAAAGGGAGTGCTCCTAATCTCAGTTTGTTACCTGTATAAAAGACACCTGTCCACAGAAGCAATCAATCAATCAGATTCCAAACTCTCCACCATGGCCAAGACCAAAGAGCTCTCCAAGGATGTCAGGGACAAGATTGTAGACCTACACAAGGCTGGAATGGGCTACAAGACCATCGCCAAAGCAGCTTGGTGAGAAGGTGACAACAGTTGGTGCGATTATTTGCAAATGGAAGAAACACAAAATAACTGTCAATCTCCCTCGGCCTGGGACTCCATGCAATATCTCACCTCGTGGAGTTGCAATGATCATGAGAACGGTGAGGAATCAGCCCAGAACTACACAGGAGGATCTTGTCAATGATCTCAAGGCAGCTGGGACCATAGTCACCAAGAAAACAATTGGTAACACACTATGCCGTGAAGGAATGAAATCCTGCAGCGCCCGCAAGGTCCCCCTGCTCAAGAAAACACATATACATGCCCGTCTGAAGTTTGCCAATGAATATCGGAATGATTCAGAGGAGAACTGGGTAAAAGTGTTGTGGTCAGATGAGACCAAAATTGAGATCTTTGGCATCAACTCAACTCGCCGTGTTTGGAGGAGGAGGAATGCTACCTATGACCCCAAGAACACCATCCCCACCGTCAAACATGGAGGTGGAAACATTAGGCTTTGGGGGTGTTTTTCTGCTAAGGGGACAGGACAATTTCACCGCATCAAAGGGACGATGGACGGGGCCATGTACTGTCAAATCTTGGGTGAGAACCTGCTTCCCTCAGCCAGGGCATTGAAAATGGGTTGTGGATGGGTATTCCAGCATGACAATGACCCAAAACACACGGCCAAGGCAACAAAGGAGTGGCTCAAGAAGAAGCACATTAAGGTCCTGGAGTGGCCTAGCCAGTCTCCAGACCTTAATCCCATAGAAAATCTGTGGAGGGAGCTGAAGGTTCGAGTTGCCAAACGTCAGCCTCGAAACCTTAATGACTTGGAGAAGATCTGCAAAGAGGAGTGGGACAAAATCCCTCCTGAGATGTGTGCAAACCTGGTGGCCAACTACAAGAAACGTCTGACCTCTGTGATTGCCAACAAGGGTTTTGCCACCACGTACTAAGTCATGTTTTGCAGAGGGGTCAAATACTTATTTCCCTCATTAAAATGCAAATCAATTTATAAACATTTTTGACATGCATTTTTCTGGATTTTGTTGTTGTTATTCTGTCTCTCACTGTTCAAATAAACCTACCTATTAAAATTATAGACTGATCATGTCTTTGTCAGTGGGCAAACGTACAAAATCAGCAGGGGATCAAATACTTTTTTCCCTCACTGTAAGACACGCACTCTACACACACGCACACATGGATTTTGTATTGTAGATATGTGTTGGTAGAGGAGCGGCCTGAGGGAACACACTTAACGTGTTGTGAAAAGCGATATGAAATGTAATTGTATATAATATAATATGCCATTTAGCAGACGCTTTTATCCAAAGCGACTTACAGTCATGCGTGCATAAATTTTTGTTTATTGGTGGTCCCGGGGATCGAACCCACTACCTTGGCGTTACAAGCGCCGTGCTCTACCAGCTGAGCTACAGAGGACCACATTTAATTGCTGGACCGCAGGAAGAGTAGTGGGGATCCTTAATAAATACAAATACAAATCCTTTACAGAAACCCTCTCTCCCTCCTCCCCAATAGAATCCTGTACATAAACCCTCTCTCCCTCCTTTTCCCTCCTCCCCAATAGAATCCCACATCCCATCTCATCATTTGGGCCAAACAACCAATCAGACCATCTTGCTGCTGTTTCCATGAAACTCAGAAGAACCTTGTAGCTCTGGTCTGTCCAATGCATTGTAATAATCCTGTGCTATTAGTACCTTTTTCAGATCCCATTTCTGATTCTACACCTCACATTCTCAATGAGGTTTTTGCAACAGGACTACTAATTGTATCCATAATTCCATCACATAATTTATGCCAAACAACAATCTTGCTGATATTTCCATCTTGCTGATATTTCCACAAAACTCTAAACTCTTTGCAATAATCCTGTTCTATTGCCATTTACGTCTTTGTCTGACCTTCACTCTTTGTTAGATCTGATCTCTACATTTCACATTGTGAATCAGAAGGTTTCCCAACGGCACTACTCACCACCAGGTTTCCTATGACCATCACCAGCATGAAGACCAGGATGCATAGCGGCTGTCCGGCCACCTCCATGCAGTCCCACATGGTCTCGATCCACTCGCCGCACAGCACCCGGAACACGATGAGGAACGAGTGAAAGAAGTCCTTCATGTGCCAGCGGGGAAGCATACAATCCTTAGAGATCTTACACACACAGTCCTGGTAGTTCTTGCCGAACAGCTGCATGCCCACCACAGCGAAGATGAAGACGATGATGGCCAGTACCAGGGTCAGGTTGCCCAGAGCGCCCACTGAGTTACCGATGATCTTGATCAGCGTGTTCAGGGTGGGCCATGACTTCGCCAGCTTGAACACTCGCAACTGACCCGACACAAAGAGACAAAATCAATTATCAAATTATCAAACATTACATCATGTTTAAAAATGACCATTATAAATATTTTGTACATTATGTGAATAAAGGATTACAATGTAGTCCCCTGTGGTAAAAGAATGGCACATGACGTTATCATTGGATTGCTGTGTGCGTATGGCTTATATCCAAGTAAACAGCGTCTCAGCATCTAAATCAGAGTCCTGTTGTTGGACACGTCTCAGCATCTAAATCAGAGTCCTGTTGTTTGACACGTCTCAGCATCTAAATCAGAGTCCTGTTGTTTGACACGTCTCAGCATCTAAATCAGAGTCCTGTTGTTTGACACGTCTCAGCATCTAAATCAGAGTCCTGTTGTTTGACACGTCTCAGCATCTAAATCAGAGTCCTGTTGTTTGACACGTCTCAGCATCTAAATCAGAGTCCTGTTGTTTGACACGTCTCAGCATCTAAATCAGAGTCCTGTTGTTTGACACGTCTCAGCATCTAGATCAGAGTCCTGTTTGACACGTCTCAGCATCTAAATCAGAGTCCTGTTTAACACGTCTCAGCATCTAAATCAGAGTCCTGTTGTTTAACACGTCTCAGCATCTAAATCAGAGTCCTGTTGTTTGACACGTCTCAGCATCTAAATCAGAGTCCTGTTGTTTGACACGTCTCAGCATCTAAATCAGAGTCCTGTTGTTTGACACGTCTCAGCATCTAAATCAGAGTCCTGTTGTTTAACACGTCTCAGCATCTAAATCAGAGTCCTGTTGTTTGACACGTCTCAGCATCTAAATCAGAGTCCTGTTTGACACGTCTCAGCATCTAAATCAGAGTCCTGTTGTTTGACACGTCTCAGCATCTAAATCAGAGTCCTGTTTGACACGTCTCAGCATCTAAATCAGAGTCCTGTTGTTTGACACGTCTCAGCATCTAGATCAGAGTCCTGTTGTTTAACACGTCTCAGCATCTAAATCAGAGTCCTGTTGTTTGACACGTCTCAGCATCTAAATCAGAGTCCTGTTGTTTGACACTTCTCAGCATCTAGATCAGAGTCCTGTTGTTTGACACGTCTCAGCATCTAGATCAGATTCCTGTTGTTTGACACGTCTCAGCATCTAAATCAGAGTCCTGTTGTTTACCTGATCCATTTTCATGTTGCTCGTAATTGAAGTGATTCCACTAAAATGTGTCACCAACTCTCTAAATCTCATTGTAATGCACAACATATTATGCTACTGTGGAAAGGGAGGGGGGGGGGGTATGCTAAGTTTGAAGTTTCTCACCCTCAAACATATTATTAAGAGGGAATAATTATTTTGATGTAGCATTTTATTTTATTTTTTTGTTTAAACCAATCATTACCAATCAAACAAATAAAATATATAATAAAGGAAATAAATACATAAATAAAATGTTTATCAAATGTCATGAAATGAAATTAAAATGAAATGTCTCTGTGTGACAGGTGGCATTACCAGTCTGAAGGAGCGCAGGACAGACAGTCCCTCGACGTTGGACAGACCCAGCTCCATGAGGCTGAGACACACGATGATGCCGTCAAACATGTTCCAGCCCTGCTGGAAGTAGTAGTACGGATCCATGGCTATCAGCTTGAACACCATCTCTGCCGTGAAGATCACCGTGAACACCTGTGAAAGCACACAGATAATACCCAACCGATACAAAAAAAACATTAAAACAACCATCACACAACCAGTACAGACCCAGTGTACAACCATGATCAGCAATGGACTCATTCTCATTCTGTTAATTCCTTGGACTTTGAGGAACTTTTTTTTTTCACTTAAATTTGTCGTATCGTATGTCATAGCTATGTTAATATTGTGTTTCTACTGTATAATACTGTTATTCTCTATTATCTGTGAATGGCATTGGCCTCCCCTGAGGCCTACAGGGTTTCAGATTAACAGCAAGAAGAGGGAGATGAGTATTAGAAGATTATCCTACTCCCTATCACTCCCTAACCAACCGTGTTGATCTGGATTGAATAGACTGGTGTTGATCTGGATTGAATAGACTGGTGTTGATCTGGATTGAATAGACTGGTGTTGATCTGGATTGATCTGGATTGAATAGACTGGTGTTGATCTGGATGGAATAGACTGGTGTTGATCTGGATTGAATAGACTGGTGTTGATCTGGATTGATCTGGATTGAATAGACTGGTGTTGATCTGGATTGAATAGACTGGTGTTGATCTGGATTGAATAGACTGGTGTTGATCTGGATTGAATAGACTGGTGTTGATCTGGATTGAATAGACTGGTGTTGATCTGGATTGAATAGACTGGTGTTGATCTGGATTGAATAGACTGGTGTTGATCTGGATTGAATAGACTGGTGTTGATCTGGATTGATCTGGATTGAATAGACTGGTGTTGATCTGGATGGAATAGACTGGTGTTGATCTGGATTGAATAGACTGGTGTTGATCTGGATTGATCTGGATTGAATAGACTGGTGTTGATCTGGATTGAATAGACTGGTGTTGATCTGGATTGATCTGGATTTAATAGACTGGTGTTGATCTGGATTGATCTGGATTGAATAGACTGGTGTTGATCTGGATTGAATAGACTGGTGTTGATCTGGATGGAATAGACTGGTGTTGATCTGGATGGAATAGACTGGTGTTGATCTGGATTGAATAGACTGGTGTTGATCTGGATTGATCTGGATTGAATAGACTGGTGTTGATCTGGATGGAATAGACTGGTGTTGATCTGGATTGAATAGACTGGTGTTGATCTGGATGGAATAGACTGGTGTTGATCTGGATGGAATAGACTGGTGTTGATCTGGATTGAATAGACTGGTGTTGATCTGGATGGAATAGACTGGTGTTGATCTGGATTGAATAGACTGGTGTTGATCTGGATTGATCTGGATTGAATAGACTGGTGTTGATCTGGATGGAATAGACTGGTGTTGATCTGGATTGAATAGACTGGTGTTGATCTGGTTTGAATAGACTGGTGTTGATCTGGATTGATCTGGATTGAATAGACTGGTGTTGATCTGGATGGAATAGACTGGTGTTGATCTGGATGGAATAGACTGGTGTTGATCTGGATGGAATAGACTGGTGTTGATCTGGATTGATCTGGATTGAATAGACTGGTGTTGATCTGGATTGAATAGACTGGTGTTGATCTGGATTGAATAGACTGGTGTTGCCAATTTCAGGGTTGAAAATATATTTCCCAAAGTTTCAAATATTTTCAGAAATCCCTGTTGGATTCCTCGTTTATTCCCTTCTGATTCTGGGATTTTACAACCCTAGTTTCCATTGTGTCTGATTTTACAACCCTAGTTTCCATTGTGTCTGATTTTACAACCCTAGTTTCCATTGTGTCTGATTTTACAACCCTAGTTTCCATTGTGTCTGATTTTACAACCCTAGTTTCCATTGTGTCTTCTAGGTTATGTGATTACTATTTCCGTAACTGTTGTGTGATTGTGGATAGGTGGTAAGTAATTTATTAATTGTAATAATACATTAAAAAAACATCTTATCAGTTGTAATGTGATACTAATTGACTGTTTATAAGAATCTATCATAAAACAATTGTTCACAAAAAAATAACCTTACCATGTTGAGGGAATATTGTGATTGTTGTGTGATTGTGGATAGGTTGGTAAGTGTTGTTAATAATTGTAACAGTCATATGATTTTGGAAATCCTTACCAGGTTGCCAACAGAGAGCACGTTGTTGAACTCGTCAGTCATGGGGTAGTGTTCCAGGGCCATGAAGAGAGTGTTGAGGACGATACAGATGGTGATGGCCAGGTCCAGGAAGGGATCCATCACAATCATCTTCACATACTCCTTCACCTTCAGCCACCACGGGCACCTGTCCCAGATCAGGTACGCCTTGGCAAAGGTGTACCAGCAAGGGGGGCACTTCTGACGAGACTCTTCCAGGTCTGGGTGGCAGAGACCAGACACAGGGGGGTTAGGTTGTAATGGTTTTAGGGCTGTGTAAAATTCCACACAAACTTTCCCACAGTTCCTTGGGTTTTTCAAGAAATCTTGGTTGAAAGATCCTCTCCTTGATCATGCCCTCCTAATTCAGGGAAACCTCCAACAGATTTCGGAAAAATTTCAGAGAACTTTTGGGAACGATTTTGGAAGCCCAAGCGGTTTTAAAGGTTTCACTTTATATTCATAAAGAATTTATAAAGGGTTTATAAGTCGTTTATAAAACTGTTAATAAGTAGTTTATAGATAGTTTATAAATCTGTCATAATTTATTAACTACAAAGATGTGAAACAGTGGTTGACATTGTGTGCTTTTCATTTAGCTGCTTGTCAAAGACTATATGTGCACTGGCAATACTAACAGTTATTGTTTTAAAATCCTTTATAGGATTAACTTTTACATTCTTATTGGCTTGTTAAGCCCTTTAACATTCCAGTCAAGTCAATTAGCCATCAGTTAGTTATGACTTACTTACACGTTCGTTTTGAGCTAGTTGTAGATGAACTTGTAAGTTATACATTAGTTATGAGTTAGTTATACATTTATAATGAAGTCATAATGAGTTAGTTAGACATTTATAGTGAAGTTGTAATGAGTTAGTTAGACATTTATAATGAAGTCATAATGAGTTAGTTAGACATTTATAGTGAAGTTATAATGAGTTAGTTGGGCGTTAAAAGAGCCTCTGTAAATTGACCTCTGACCTCTGAAGGTACCCTCACCATCCATGGCATCGCTGAGGAAGCTAACGGAGCTCAGACCGCGTTTCCTACGGAGGGGAGGCTCAGCAGCCTCGGGGGAGAGCTGGCCCGGCTTGGGACTGGACTCCTCTATACAGGTGGGCTCCTGGAAAAATGGGAGAAATAAAAGTTTGACCAACACTGACCAATCAAACAATCAATTAATTAAGTCAATCACATTATATTTACACAAAGCTTTTTACAAAAATATTTGTCATAGACTACAGTACTACAACAGGGCTCACTTGAAAAAGCCCTGGTTAAAAGAACACTTTTTTTAAACTTCACTAACTGTATCTTCTTTGACCTTCTCCATGCTGCAGGCGGGCAGGGAGGTGGGGGTGTGCAGGCCGACAGTGGTGACCCCGTTCTGGTCCAGGGAGATGTTGAGACGTCCGTTGATGTTGAGACTGGGGGTTAAGACCTGGGAACAATGGCTCCTCACGCTGCCTGTCCTTTTGTGCTTGTGCTGCCAGTTGGGGCCGATGGCGGAGCCTGTCCTACTCCTCCCCATGATGTCCCCATGAACACTGTACTCATCGTCCCCGAAGTCGGCATCGGAGGTGGTACGGGGTCGGAAGGAGAAGATACTGGCCTGGCTGCTGCGGCGCGTGCTGAGAGGGTGGGAGGACATGGCAGCAAGGAGAGGGTGAATGGGCATGGGGGACATGGGAGGCAGGGGGGACTGGAGGGAGGATAAGGAAAGAGAGAGAGAGAAAGAGAGAGAGAGAGAGAGAGAGAGAGAGAGAGAGAGAGAGAGAGAGAGAGAGAGAGAGAGAGAGAGAGAGAGAGAGAGAGCGAGAGAGAGAGAGAGAGAGAGAGAGAGCGAGAGAGAGAAGGCATGTGAGAGAGAGAGATAAAGAGAGAGATATAAAGAGAGAGAGATAAAGACAGAGAGAGAGAGAGAGAGAGAGAGAGAGAGAGAGAGAGAGAGAGAGAGAGAGAGAGAGAGAGAGAGAGAGAGAGAGAGAGAGAGCGAGAGAGAGAAGGCGTGTGAGAGAGAGAGAGAGATAAAGAGAGAGAGATAAAGAGAGAGAGAGAGAGTTAGTTGTAGAAGACGAACAATTCCTCAAAAAAATAGTGAGACATTAATTGACGGGTGCTGCACATTGGTAGTGGATAAGGTGAGTTTGCCTTTACAATCTAAAGCACTTTTTGAGTATTGTGATTGTCATAAGGCTAACGATGAACATTGTGATTCTAAACAAGGTTCTAGTCAACATTCAAACTTTCCAAGACAGACACGTTATAACAGTCCCTCTGGAAGTTCAGTAAGGTGTCTTACCTAGCTACATTAAGAGGAATGCACTGACTGTATGTGGCTCTGGATAAATGGCTAAATGGCCAAAATGCTATGTAATGTAAATGTGTCTGTCGTACCACCCGCTCATCCAGTGGATCAAACTTCTCATCTGCTTCCTCCTCCGGATCCTCGGACAGCACCCTGCGAGATTTTCTACTGGCTGTCCGTCTCAAACTGCTGCCCACTTTTAGTTGGAACGGTGACAGCTCTGGAGACATAACCGAGTCTGTCTCCTGCTGAATTCTTCTTTCTGCCATCTTCACAAGTAGAGAAACAAGTTCAGTTTACAATAACTGATACTATCTGTGTTTTACCATTGACTTTAAAGGAATTTAACACACATTCTAGACAGATGTTAATTAGTAGTGCTACAATCATTATTACAATAAGGTATTCCTAAAATGTAATACATACTTTAATTTCCTGAATTGGCAAAAGAAAAACAAAAAGAAAAACAAAATAAGTAACAGTATGTTTTAAAATAAACTTTCAACCAGAGCCATACAGTATATAGCGAGTATACCTGTATAGCTAAATATATTATAACATACTGCATATGGTTCTAATGTAAACCAGGGTTGGGGTCAATTCGAATTGAAGACAGTCAATTCAGGAAGTAAACTGAAATGTTAATTCAATAATTAATTAATTCAACTGAAAGGGAAAATCTATTTATTTCAGTGAATTCAATTCGAATGAACCCCAACCCAGACGTAGCCTAGCTACCCTCTGTTCTCTTTATTGGTGTTGTACAGTGTTAATAAAGCTGCAACTCAAATTGCCCAATGTTGGGACAATAAAGCTTTCTGAACCTGAATCTGGATAGAAAATGTCCACCTTCCGAAAACCTACACCCTACCCTCCGAATACAAACTTACAGTCTGAATACAAACCTACCCTCTGAATACAAACCTACCCTCTGAATACAAACCTAACCTCTGAATACAAACCTACCGTCTAAATACAAACCTATCGTCTGAATACAAACCAACCGTCTGAATATAAACTTATCATCTGAATACAAACCTACCCTCTGAATACAAACATACCGCCTGAATACAAAAACCGACCGTCTGAATAAAAACCTATCGTCTGAATAAAAACCGATCGTCCGCATATAAACCTATCGTCCGAATACAAAAATAAAACCTACCCTCTGTTCTCTGCGTAGATGTTCCATGGCCAGCTGGAACTCCCTCTCCTTCATCCAGGCCTCCTGGATGGTGGCCTGGTTCTGCTCCTCGTAGGCCATGGCCACCACAGCCAGGATCAGGTTGACCAGGTAGAAGGACCCCAGGAAGATCACCAGCACAAAGAACACCATGTAGGTCTTCCCCGCTGACCTCAGAGTCTGGGGAGGGAACGGAGATACAGCAGGTTAAGTCTAGGTCCAAAAGGCTTCTCAACAGCTTCTACCCCCAAGCCATAAGACTCCTGAACAGCTAATCATGGCTACCCGGACTATTTGCACTGCCCCCCCACCCCATCCTTTTTACGCTGCTGCTACTCTGTTAAGTATTTATGCATAGTCACTTTAACTCTACCCACATGTACATATTACCTCAACTACCTCAACTAGCCGGTGCCCCCGCACATTGACTCTGCAACGGTACCCCCCTGTATATATAGCCTCCCTACTGTCACTTTATTTTACTTCTGCTCTTTTTTTCTCAACACTTTTTTTTGTTGTTGTTTTATTCTTACTTTTTTTGTTTAAAATAAATGCACTGTTGGTTAAGGGCTGTAAGTAAGCATTTCACTGTAATGTCTGCACCTGTTGTATTCGGCGCATGTGACCAATAAAATTTGATTTGATTTGATTTGATTAACATTTGTACATTTTAGTCATTTAGCAGACGCTCTTATCCAGAGCGACTTAAAGTTTAGTGAGTGCATACATTTTTTTTTTACACACACACATACACACAACCAGGCCCAGTTCATAACAGTCTATACAGAGTAGTGTACCTGATGGTAGAGGTTCTCCCAGTAGTCTTGAGTCATCAGCCGGAACAGCGCCAGGAAAGCCCAGCCAAAGCTGTCGAAGCTGGTGTAGCCATAGTTAGGATTCCTCCCTATTCTCAGACAGTCAAATCCCTCAGGACATTTCCTGCAACACACAGCATCGCGCTAGGGTTAATAATAATAATATGCCATTTTAGCAGACGCTTTTATCCAAAGCGACTTACAGTCACGTGTGCATACATTTTTACGTATGGGTGGTCCCGGGGATCGAACCCGCTACCCTGGCGTTACAAGCGCCATGCTCTACCAATTGAGCTACAGAGGATAACACATGACACAGCAGTATTTTACCCAGGGGTGAAAGTAGTTTTAATTTCTTCCAGATACGGTACCTCCAATGTGTGCACGCGCTATAATTGCATAGAATCCCTATACATTTAATAGGATCTCAGTGGGCATAAACATGATTTTTAACTTTTAAATGTATTACCTTTTAATGTTTCATTAACATAACCAGTCATTATGTTTTCATCTGGTTGTCAAACAATCACGTCAAAAGGATCCTGTAAGCCTGGCTGCCTGCACACATTCGTCACTCTAAAATAATTCCTGCATCCATACTGTTCACTGTGCACCCGCCATTTGATGAATGGAAAGAATAATCTGTAACAAAACACCAAGAAGTGAAAGACATTCTGTGATTGGCCATCGTCAGGCTTACACTTGTAACCCGAATGGATGGGTCCTCCGCTGTCCGCGCGTCTCGGTCTTGGCCGCTCAAATTTCACTGTTATCGTCGAACCACACCACATTTTGGAGCACATTCCACACATTTTCAAGTCCATTCGCAAATGTTTCATGCGTGTGAAATGCAGTAATTATAAATAGTAGTGTAATAGTCAGTTTTCTTGGCATCTTTGAGTTAATTGTTGTGATAGCCTCATGTTCAACCGGTACGGCATACTCCCCCCCCCCATTTATTTTGCTGGGTCGTCGTACCAGCCCATACCGGCTTACTTTCACCCCTGATTTTACAACCCAAAACAGAGTAAGGGTGGTGATGGACAGCTAAGAGCTGATGAAGGTTAAACTAACCATGGACTGTAATATTTGAAATGTTTACATAAATGTATGTCCCTACGGCTAAACTAATGAGTAAGGCTCCCATCTCCAAACTTTATTGTCACCACGGTCAGATTGCATTACTGCAAATGTTGAGAGAGAGAGAGAGAGAGAGAGAGAGAGAGAGAGAGAGAGAGAGAGAGAGAGAGAGAAGAGAGAGAGAGAGAGAGAGGAGAGTAGAGGAGCAGAGCAGAGGGAGAGAGAGGAGAGGAGAGAGAGAGAGAAAGGAGAGATGGGAACAGGGGGAGAGAGGGAGAGAGCTGAGAGAAAAAATCTGAGAGAGAGAGTGGGGAGTGGGGAGAGAAGAGAGGGGGAAAGAAGAGAGAGAGAGAGAGAGATGGGGAGGGGGGAAAGAGGGAGAGAGAGCTGAGAGAAAAATATCTCAGAGAGAGAGTGGGAGAGAGGGGGGAGAGAAAGAGAGGGGAGACATAGAGAGGGGTGGGGGAGAGAGAGAGAGAGCGAGAGAGAGAGAGAGAGAGAGAGAGAGAGAGAGAGAGAGAGAGAGAGAGAGAGAGAGAGAGAGAGAGAGAGAGAGAGAGAGAGAGAGAGAGAGAATACGCAAGGTGTAAATTAGAAATTTGGTTGTGCTAACAATTTTTTGAATGGTAACTTTATATTTGTATTTAATATGGATCCCCATTAGCTCCTGCTTAAATTGATTTTTATTTGGATTTCATGTAATGGACATACACAAAATAGTCCAGATTGGTGAAATGAATAAAATAACGGAGAAGTCCTGTGTGCATATGTATTCACCCCATTTGCTATGAAGCCCCTAAATAAGATCTGGTGCAACCAATTACCTTCAGAAGTCACATAATTAGTTAAATAAAGTCCACCTGTGTGCAATCTAAGTGTCACATGATCTGTCACATGATCTCAGTATATATACACCTGTTCTGCAACACCACTAAGCAAGGGGCACCACCAAGCAAGGGGCACCATGAAGACCAAGGAGCTCTCCAAACAGGTCAGGGATAAAGTTGTGGAGAAGTACAGATCAGGGTTGGGTTATAAAAAAAATCTGAAACTTTGAACATCCCATGGAGCACCATTAAATCCATTATTAAAAAATGGAAAGAATATGGCACCACAACAAACCTGCTAAGAGAGGGCCGCCCACCAAAACTCACGGACCAGGCAAGGAGGGCATTAATCAGAGAGGCAACAAAGAGACCAAAGATAACACTGAAGGAGCTGCAAAGCTCCACAGCGGATATTAGAGTATCTGTCCATAGGACCACTTTAAGCTGTACACTCCACAGAGCTGGGCTTTACGGAAGAGTGGCCAGAAAAAAGCCATTGCTTAAAAAAAAAAATACGGAAACACATTTGGAGTTCGCCAAAAGGCATGTGGGAGACTCCCCAAACATATGGAAGAAGTTACTCTGGTCAGATGAGACTAAAATTTAGCTTTTTGGCCATCAAGGAAAACGCTATGTCTGGCGCAAACCCAACACCTCTCATCACTCCGAGAACACCATCCCCACAGTGAAGCATGGTGGTGGCAGCATCATGCTGTGGGGATGTTTTTCATCGGCAGGGACTGGGAAACTGGTCAGAATTGAAGGAATGATGGATGGCGCTAAATACAGGGATATTCTTGAGGAAACCTGTTCAGTCTTCCAGAGTCTTCAGTCTTCCAGAGATTTGAGACTGGGACGGAGGTTCACCTTCGAGCAGGACAATGACCCTAAGCATACTGCTAAAGCAACACTTGAGTGGTTTAAGGGGAAACATTTAAATGTCTTGGAATGGTCTAGTCAAAGCCCAGACCTCAATCCAATTAAGAATCTGTGGTATGACTTAAAGATTGCTGTACATCAGCGGAACCCATCCAACTTAAAGGAGCTGGAGCAGTTTTGCATTGAAGAATGGGAAAAAATCCCAGTGGCTAGATGTGCCAAGCTTATAGAGACATACCCCAAGAGACTTGCAGCTGTAATTGCTGCAAAAGGTGGCTCTACAAAGTATTGACTTTGGGGGGGTGAATAGTTATGCACGCTCAAGTTTTCATATTTCTTGTTTGTTTCACAATAAAAAATATTTTGCATCTTCAAAGTGGTAGGCATGTTGTGTAAATCAAATGATATAAACCCCCCAAAAATCAATTTTCATTCCAGGTTGTAAGGCAACAAAATGGGAAAAATGCCAAGGGGGTGAATAATTTCGCAAGCCACTGTAATGTTAGCTCTCTGTGTACATCCAAGGGCCAGCCATGCTGCCCTGTTCTGAGCCAATTGCAATTTTCCTAAGACCCTCTTTGTGGCACCTGACCACACGACTGAACAGTCGTCCAGGTGCGACAAAACTAGGGCCTGTAGGACCTGCCTTGTTGATAGTGCTGTTAAGAAGGCAGAGCAGTGCTTTATTATAGACAGACTTCTCCCCATCCTAGCTACTGTTGTATCAATATGTTTTTATGACAGTTTACAATCCAGGGTTACTCCAAGCAATTTAGTCTCCTCAATTTGCTCAATATCCACATTATTCACTACAAGATTTGGTTGAGGTTTAGGGTTTAGTGAATAATTTGTCCCAAATACAATGCCTTTAGTTTTTGAAATATTTAGGACTAACTTATTCCTTGCCACCCATTCTGAAACTAACTGCAGCTCTTTGTTAAGTGTTGCTGTCATTTCAGTCGCTGTGGTAGCTGACGTGTATAGTGTTGAGTCATCCGCATACATAGACACACTGGCTTTACTCAAAGCCAGTGGCATGTCGTTAGCAAAGATTGAAAAAAGTAAGGGGCATAGACAGCTGCCCTGGGGAATTCCTGATTTTACCTGGAATTTGTTGGAGAGGCTTCCATTAAAGAACACCCTATGTGTTCTGTTAGACAGGTAACTCTTTATCCACAATATAGCAGGGGGTGTAAAGCCATAACACATACGTTTTTCCGGCAACAGACTATGATCGATCATTTCAAAAGCTGCACTGAAGTCTAACAAAACAGCCCCCACAATCTTTTTATCATCAATTTCTCTCAGCCAACCATCAGTCATTTGTGTAAGTGCTGTGCTTGTTGAATGTCCTTCCCTATAAGCGTGCTGAAAGTCTGTTTTCAATTTGTTTACTGTAAAATAGCATTTTATCTGGTCAAACACAATTTTTTCCAGAAGTTTACTAAGGGTTGGTAACAGGCTGATTGGTCGGCTATTTGAGCCAGTAAAGGGGGCTTTACTATTCTTAGGTAGGGGAATAACTTTTGCTTCCCTCCAGGCCTGAGGGCACACACTTTCTAGTTGGCTTAAATTGAAGATATGGCAAATAGGAGTGGCAATATCGTCCGCTATTATCCTCAGTAATTTTCCATTGAATTTGTCAGACCCCGGTGTCTTGTAATTGTTGATCGATAATAATACTTTTTTCACCTCTTCCACACTTACTTTACGGAATTCAAAATTACAATGCTTGTCTTTCATAATTTGGTCAGATATACTTGGATGTGTAGTGTCAGCGTTTGTTGCTGGCATGTCATGCCTAAGTTTGTAAAGTAGTTGGCAATATCAGTGGGTTTTGTGATGAATGAGCCATCTGATTCAATGAATGATGGAGTGGAGTTTGCCATTTTGCCCAGAATTTCATTTAAGGTGCCAGTTGTCTAAACTTGTAGTTATAATGGCTGAATACCGACTGGACATGCAGGGCACGTGCCCAGGGGCCCTGACCTCTAGGGGCCCTGACCTCTAGGGGCCCTGACCTCTAGGGGGCTCCCATTGATTTTGTTAGTCACCATCACTAAGATATCATTAATATGGCATAAGTCATGGCAAAATGAATAGAATTGCAGGAAATTTACTTTAAAACTGCAAGAATTTCTCTCTGCCCCCATGGCAAAATGTGTAGAACTGCAGAAAACTTGTTTTAAAACTGCAACATTTTCGCTACGCCCCATGGCAAAATGTGTAGAACTGCAGGAAATTAACTTTGAAACTTTTTGTCTCCGCCATCAAT